CAAGTATTTGAAGACTTCTATAACATTGCCTTCTTAAGCTCTTTTTCTGCATATTGAACATACCTAGCTCCTTCAGCCTCTCCTTGTATGACTTGCTTTCCAAGCCCTTGATCTTCTTTGTTGCCCACCTCTGGACTGTCTCTAACTTCTCCACTTCCTTTTTAAAATGTGGAGCCCAGAACTACATACAGTACTCCAGATGGTTCCTAACCGGTGCTGAGTAGAGATGCACTACCATTTCCCATGTCTTGCACCTAATGCTTTTATCGGTGCATCCCGAAACTACACTCACCTTTTGTGTGGCTGCATCTCACTGCATATAGAGTCTGTGGTCTACCAAGACTCCCAAGTCTTTTTCCATATGCTGTATCTAGCCAGATGTCACCCATTGTTCACACTGAAGTTCATCCTGGTAGCTCTAGCCTAACTTGTCAATCTGTCCTTTGCTTGCAGGTATTGAGCCAGTTTTCTATCTACCTTATATCAGTTTTGTCCAGTCCATGTTTTTCCAATTTGTTTATGAGAAAGTCTTGTGGGACCTTGTCAAAAGCCTTGCTGAAGTCCAGATATAATGTATCCACAGCATTCTCTTCATCCACACAAATAGTTACTTTGTCAAGGAAAGACATCAGCTTTGTTTGACATGGTTTGTTTTTCATAAATCCATTCTGGCTGCATGCAATCAGCCTTTCTTTCTTGTAAATGCTTGCATGTGGCCTTTCTTAGGATATGCTCCAGTAAAATCCCAGGTTTTGAGGTGAGGCTAACCAGTCTGTAGTTCCCTGGGTCCTACTTCTTGCCTTTTTTAAAGAGAGGCACTACATTGGCCCTTTTCTAACCCTCTGGTACCTGGCCCATCTCCCACAACTTCATGAAGATCATTGACAAGGGCTCCAAGATCTGCTCTGCTGGTTCCTTTCAGGACCCTGGGATGAAGCTCATCTGGCCCTGCAGACTTGATTTCATTCAGACCCAGCCAAAGCTCTCTTTTGTTATCTTCTCCCTCAGATTGCCCCCTTCCTTATCCAGATTATCCCTTTTAGGTGTCTGACCACAGCTTAATTTTTTTTGTGAAGACTGAGGCAAAGTGGCTGTTGAATAGCTCCACCTTCTTTACATCTTCAGTTAGGAGTTCCCCCTGGCTTGTTAACAGAGGACCCATAGCTTCCTTGGTCTTTCTCTTCTGGCCAGCATACTTATACAACCTCTTCTTGTTGTTCCAATACTGTGCCCCTTAGAAGCTCCCAGCCCTCTTGGGTACCTTTATCCTTCAATATGTCCTTCCACGACACCATGCCTATTATCTCCTTGAATCAGATGAAATCTGCCTTTTTGAAATCTAGCATCCTAATTTTGCTGACCTCATGCTTTCCCTGTCTCAGGATCTGGAATTCCACTTTATTGTGATCACTTCCTGCCAAGTTACCCACCATCTTCTCATCTTTCACCAGTTCTTCCCTGTTGGTCAGGAAAAAAATCCAAGATACATGATCTCCTAGTTGTCTCCTCCACTTGATGAAAAACAAAGTTGCCCTCCACACAAGTTAAGAATCAGTGCCTCATCCACCTCCTCTTCCTGATTAGGTGGCCTGCAATAAATCCCCACCATTATATTGGTGCCGCATCTTTCACCTTTCATCATCACCTAAATACATTCTGCCTTGCTGTCTTCTTCCTCCTGAGCCAGAGAACAAGTGTATATGTTTTTCACATACATCAGATGTATTTTGCATTTTGACCTCCTTGCTTCCCTTCTGTGCCACTTGTTGCAGTCCTGTAGCTCACTGACTTTTTCCCAGAATTGAGTTGCTTCTTCAAGTCCTTTCCCCTCTGGACTATGTGCTCTGTTGCTGGAGGGTTTTGATCACCATCCCTAGTGAAACCTAGTTTAAAGACCTCCTTACAGACAGACAATGCCCAAAGATGTTTTTCCCCATTCTTGTCAGATGGATCCCATCTCTTGATAGCAGTCCTCCTCCCATGAACATCTGCCCATTGTTGAAGAAGCCAAAGCCTTCACGTCGACACCACCGTCTCAACCAAATTAACTTAATTTTTATAAATGTTCCATTTGACTTGAGCTAAAATTAGGTGTCCTGTCACTTCACAGGCATTTTCAGAACGTTGGCTTTTCATCACAATTCAGGATAAGAAAACATTTCTTGTCCAGCTTTGCTTAAATGCTCAGTGCATGGAACTTATCAAAAAGAAGTTTGGGTGGTGACTTGATGTTAGTGCATAAATACATTCAAAAAGAGGAAATACCACATCCTTATGGATTCTTTATTTTCTTAGATTAAAAAACATAATCAGAACAAGTGGCAGGAGGCTAAAGCCCCACAAACACAAATTAGAAAATAGGCACACATTTTTAATTTTGACAGTAATTAACTATGGAAGCCAATTGTGGATTCCCTATATCAGCAGTTCTCAGTCTTTTTAGACTCAAGGCACTCCTCCACAACTTTTCAAAATTTTGCAGCAACCCATTTAAAAAGCATAATTGCATTGCTATTATTAATTTGTTATCAGTTAATTAGATCATCATAATTATATTATGTGTACTCCGGTGCCACAGTTGCTGCAGCCAGGTGAATCTGTGCAGCGCACCTTCCCAGGTTAGGAAGCAGCTTTGGTAGGAGTGTCTGCTCTTGCCACAGCCCTTCCAGATCCTACCCTGAATGTTGTCTCCTGGAAACAGGCATATGGGGCAAATGGGGCATTACATTATGCAGGCAGGCACACTGTTTCTGCTATATCTCTTCCTGGTTTGGCTCAGGAACACAGAGATGCATGGGGCAGCCCTACCTGGTGGCAGCAACATCTTTCTCCAGGCTACTGCTGCCATGGGGTGAAATTTCCCTATGTGCCTTGGTTTTCAGGAGGCATGCAGAGCCCAACCAAGATGGAGCTGCAGCAGAGGTCGCATATCTGCCTACATTACATCATAGAGGCAGATATGCCACTTCTGCTTTACCAGTTCTTACTTCAGATGAACCTGGAAGAGCTAGAACAGAAGTAGCAGTCCAAGATCCCTGGTAGGTTCTCACAGCTCCCCAACCACTGCCCTGTGTGTTGCTGGCTTCAAATCCACATTGGATGCCTTTCTGGCATTGTGAGTCCAAATTATTGTCATATACTCTAGCCCTAAATTCTTAGCATTAAAGAAAAACCTGAAGTTTTAGAATTACCCTTTTTTCCCCTCCTTTCTAATTATCTATAATTCTGGGAATTGTTCTATTTCTTTTTTTTATATATAGAACTTTTTGCTTGTATCTGTTTTGGTCTCTGTTTAACTCCACTCTGTATTTTTCTGAGGCCTTTAAAATCTCAAGACTCTAAATGTTTCGTTTTTTCTTTTGTTGTTGTTAAGATGTGAGGGCCTTGAGCTCATTCTTTGTTACTGAATGTCATCCCTGGAATTATAGATTTAAAGAGATCTGGTCCAATCTTCAGCTGAAACTCTAAGCTTCCTTAGTTATATAGTTACATACTGTTTCACAGAGCTAATATGTTGTTAGAGGAATATTTTTTCTATGATCCTTTAGCAAAAATGTGTTCAAATTGATCAATGTATTTCTCCACTGGTTTACTTTAGTAGTATGTAGCCTGAAGCTTTGGATACAAAATATTAGCTGTATAACTGTCAAACCTTTTTCTAATGAGCTGTAGCACCAATTGCTTAAAGGATATTTAAGCAGGATTTATTAATATTTTTAAAACATATGAATGGCCCTTTTCAAAAGGAAAAGGTTTTTACTTATATTTTATAACATAACATAATACTGAATTAATCAAACTGAAGTATGTCATATGATTGTGCTACTAATTAAGGCTCTAATGGACACTACCAACAATCCCTAAAATATGAGTCCTTTCACAAACTTCAGTGATGTGAACTGTTTTCTTTACTTTGATGATGTTATTGGATGAGTTAACACATTTGTGACAGGTAAAGTTACACGGTACAGTAAAAGGCAGGATAGGATGGCACCTTAGGGTGTTTATACACATACTCTGGGAGGCGGGGTGTGTGCTTTAATTAGAGTGGCTCTGAGAGACGCTCTAATTAAAGCACCCGGACTGTCAGGTGTAACGACATCCTTGGGCTGAAAAATGTTGATGGGGTCACTTTAACTAATACTCATCAAACAAGCTTTAGTTTAAAGGCCCCCGCCACCATGTTTCAGTGTGGGGATGCTGACACACATGACGCTGGAGTCTGCTGGAGCACGGTAATTACTACACTGCAGTAGATTCGATTAATCGAATCTGCTCTGACATGCTGTAATTACATCGCATCAGAGCAGCCTTGCTGCATGTGTGTAGGCACCCTTAGAAACTAACTGGTTCAGAGAGGCGTGAGCTTTCATAAGTCATAACCTACTTTGTCAGGTGAAACTAAAGTGTGCTGCTTGGTACATGGCTTGCTTACTGCATATTATGGTGTGGATTCAAAGCCAGTGTCATTTTCACTATAGAAGTATAACCAGACCATAGGTACCAAAGTGCTAAAATCAATATTGTTCTGAGCAACCTTGGGCTTTTAGCCTCCATTGATCATATCTCTCCATATAAAACACAAGAGCAGGCACCTCTTGGTGTATTTCTGTTAGGCTTTTGGCAAATTCCCAATGTAGCCATCTCATGCAACCAAAATTTGGAAGTTCATAAAAATCTGTGTATCAGTGACTGGGTACATATGATGATCTATACCAAGGTATGCTCATAAAAATATCTTCACCAATTTAATTTTTTGAATCATATGCATGTGTGGTTTTACTTCATTGAGGTTTTCCCTGTTCTCACTTAAGGTGTGATCCCAGTCCCTTTGATGTCAATGAAAAGGTGAAACTTGTTTATATCGAGGGGTTCCATAACCTCAAAGCTGTACACAGTGCAATTGTCTAGACTCTATGTCTTTACTGATGTCTACATGTCATTTGTCTTTTTCTTTCCATGTTTGTCCTGATGAGCTCCTCATGTTTGATTCTTTGCAGACATCTCAGTCAGTCTGCTCGCAGTGGTCGTCAGCTTCTGTGGGCTTGCCTTGCTGGTCGTCTCGCTTTTTGTTTTCTGGAAGTTATGTTGGCCATGCTGGAGAAGCAAACCTCTGACTTCCAACTCCACTAATATCCCTCAGAGCAACTCTAATGCTCCCACTGAGGTTTTTGAGACCAATGAGAAAAAGGAGATTAAAGAAAATGGCAAACCTTCAGCAAAAATCCTTGAGGCTGCCATAAAAATCAGTCACACTTCACCTGACATTCCAGCCGAGGTTCAGAATGCATTGAAAGAACATCTAATCAAACATGCACGCATGCAGAGGCAGATCACTGAGCCTACATCATCATCCAGGTAAGAAAACTTCAATTTATTGAGTATAGATAACAGTTTGCTTTTCCTGAAAATTAGAGAATCAACATCTGTGAGTTTTTAGGTTCTTCATTCCATGTTGAAAAGTTATAGATAAAGCACTGGTCTTATTAAGTTGAAGCATCACAATTACTGCAAAAATGTCACTGAACAGCAATAATAAATAATTGGAAAAGTGAAGATTTATATTCAAATAATTACTTCTAAATGAAAGCATCAAATCAATATCTGCTGCAACTGTACATAAAGGTGTATTTCTACTTGTGACATATTTTTTATTCAACATTTTCTTGTGGAAGGCAAGTTAAGGGCTATTTGGCAAAGCAAGACAGGCATACAGACCCCATCTTTCAGGTGCAATTAGTGAATACATTTTTATAGGTGCACCAATTTTATTGCTCCTAGAGCTGAAAATTAGACTCATCATGAAGTAAATTACAATTTTATTATTGATGGCACTTTCCTTTAAGGCATGGATTGACATTTAAAAAAGAATTAAAGATTTGAGTCTTACCAGGATATAGGTCCATTCAGTATACTCCTAAAACACTGCATCTTTCATTCATATTTTTTAAATAAATAGAGAGATCTAGTGATATCTGGGCATGGAGATCTTTTTAATCCACCTCTGAAAGTGTTGATAAAGAATATCATCTTTTAATCCAGCTAAGGTACTGCAGTATATCAATACATGGCAAGCTAAAAATTTACCACTACAATTGATCTTAGCCTACAAGAGGCTGAAAAGCAACACATTTAGCAGGACCTGCAGTATCAAAGGGATCTTTGAAAATAGTGTGATAGAAGCTTTTAGAGAACACGTAATATTAAAGACTAAAACACAAAAGTTACTTCCTACATCAGGAAAAATGTTTCAATCCTCTTTAGAAAGGGAAAATTATGGTTGGGAACACAGGTTGAAAGTCACGATGCAAATGAGAATAAGTGCATAATGTAAAACACTACAGGTGTTACCCAATAAATGTTTGAATATTTTACACTGAAGCAAGAGCACATGAATTCTTCAAGATAACATTGGGATAGATTCTGTCCCTCCTGTGCACATAGACAACTTTATGCCGCCCTCTTGGTCAGTGGCTACCATAGGAGTTTGTCAGGGGCGTAGTGTGAATAGGATGGTGAGTGACTGAAGCACATCCTACTACAGCTACTTCAGGCTGTGAAGCCATGAATAGGCAATGATACTAGACTGCCATAAATATGAACATTCCCTGAGAAAGTTGACCTGATTCCAGCAGGGACACTGCCCTCTGGAATGTCTCAAGCATCAAAAGGTGCATGGATAGTTTATACCCATTCTATCCGTGTTCTAGCTCCTATGCTATACTGCCTAAAAGATAAAGCGTCGAACCAGAGCCGTCGTATGGAACTTTTCCAAAATAATAGAAAGATATATGTGAAAAAAATGCATGTCACACCAGACACAAAGGGACATGGATTGGCAGAGTTAAAAGGTGATAAGAATATTATATGAAATAATTTGGTATTAATTGGAAATCCCCAGCCAGCACGTCTCATGTACCAACATCTGCATTATTAGATAATTAGATAATCATTAGGGCTGTGCGAAGCAGAAGCACTCCATTTCGACCAGTGTTTCAACATTTCAACAGAACAGCATTTCGTTTTGACTTTTGTTTCAAGTCAAAATGGCTGTTCCATTTCGTTCCATCTAAATGTTTTGCTGTTTCAACCCTGTTTCGACGTTTCTCCCATAGCGTATAGTAAAGAAGGTCAAAACAGGCTATAACTTTGTCTTTTCTGGCTGATTTTGATGAGACTTGGAGGAATGGTATCCCCTTTGGCATGATGTGTGCCAAGTTTCAAGAAGATAGGTGCGGGGGTTCAGAGAAACTGCACCCTAAAGTCTTGAGAGAAAAACTCATGTCACGTGTATGTGTTAAGCCACAGTGAGGTTAAAACTGCAGGGATGGTAACCCAAGCAGAGGTCACAAAGCCTGCCAAGTTTCTAGGAGATAGGTGCAGGGGGTTTGAAGAAACTACACCCCAAAATCCTGAAAGCAAAACTTGTGAAATGTGTATGTGTTAAGCCACAGTGGGGTCAAAACTGCAGTCATGCTAGCCCCTGCGGAGGCCACAAAGCCTGCTAAGTTTCAAGGAGATAAGTGCAGGGGGTTTGGGGAAACTGCATCTCAAGCTGCGGACAAGCAAAACTTGTGACATGGGTGACACTGTGCATATTAAGGCACAGCAGTGTGAAAGCTGTAGGGCTGCTAGCCCCTGCTGAGGTCACAAAGCCTGCCAGCTGTCGAGGAGATAGGTACAGGGGTTCTGGGTATTGGGGCCCTGCACCTCTGGCCGCAAGCAGGCAAAACTCGTGTCATGGGTTCCTGTGCAACTGACTGTCTGTCTTGGGGCAGTGGGCAGGGGAAACCACTGCAGGCCTGGCTGCTAGGCCCTGCTGTGGCCACAAAGCCTGCCAGATGTCAAGGAGATAGGTGCAGGGGGGTTCTGGGGCCCTGTACCCCTAGCTGCTCACAGGCAAAATTCGTGTTATGGGTGCTTGTGCAACTGCTGCCTATCATTAGGCAGCAGGACTGAAAATCCCCCATCACTTGTCACCAAGACCTGGGGGTAATAATTGACCAGAGTATGAACATAAGTCTGCAGTGCGATGCTGTTGCCAGCAGGGCCAGCAATATGCTGGCATGCATCAATTGATGTATCTCCAGCAAAACCATTGCAAAGAAGTGATTCTCCTGCTCTACTCGGCTCTACTCAGCACCGGTGAGACCACAGTTGGAATGCTGCGTCCAGTTCTGGGCTCCGCACCTTAACAAGGATGTGGTAAAGCTTGAGAGAGTCCAGAGAAGAGCTACCTATATGATCAGAGACTTGCATGGCAAGCCATATGAGGAAAGGCTGAGGGACCTGGGACTCTTCAGCCTGAAAAAGAGAAGGCCACATCAGAAGTGTATATCTAGGGCTAGGTAATTGATGCATGCCAGCGTATTGTTGACCATGCTGGCAACAGCATCACACTGCAAACTCATGTTCATACTGTGGTGAATTATTACCCCCAGGTCTTGGTGACAAGTGATGGGGGATCTTCAGTCCTGCTGCCTGATGATAGGCAGCAGTTGCACAAGCACCCATGTCACAAGTTTTGCCTGTCAACAGCTAGGGGTGCAGGGCCCAGAACCCCCCTGCACCTATCTCCTTGACAGCTGGCAGGCTTTGTGGCCGCAGCAGGGGCTAGCAGCCCTGCAGCTTTCACCCTGCTGCGCCTTAACACACACAGTGTCACCCATGTCACAAGTTTTTCTTGTCCACAGCTTGAGGTACAGTTTCCCCCCATACCTCTGCACCGATCTTCTTGAAACTTAGCAGGATTTGTGGCCTCTGCAGGGGCTAGCAAGCCTTCAGTTTTGACCCTGCTGTGGTTAACACATACACGTTTCACAAGTTTTTCTTTCAGGATTTTGGGGTGCAGTTTCTCCAAACCCCCTGTACCTGTCTCCTTGAAACATGGCAGGCTATGTGACCTCAGCAGGGGCTAGCATGCCTGCACTTTTGACCCCACTATGGCTTAACACATACACACGACACAAGTCTGGCTCTCAAGAATTTGGGGTCCAGTTTCTCTGAACCTGCTACACCTATCTTCTTGAAACTTGGCATGCTTTATGCCCTCAGAAGGGGCTACCATTTCTGCAAGCTTCATCAAAATTTGGCCAGAAATGACAAAGTTATAGGCTGTTTCAACCTTTCCCATTATAGCCTATGGGCGAAACATTGAAACAGTGTTGAAATGTTGAAGCATTTTGACTTGCCTCATTTTGTTTCAAGGCTGTTTCAACCATATCTGTTTCATTTCAATTTTGCTGTTTCAACCTCGAAACAGGTCGAAACAGCGTCGAAACAAAACTGGTAGCGAAATTTCATAGAATCATAGAAGTAAGGTCAGAAGGGACCTTGTAGATCTTCAAGTCTGACCCCCTGCCTGGGCAGGAAGAAAACTGGGCTCAAATGACCCAAGCCAGGTAGGCATCAAGCCACTTCTTAAAGACCCCCCCAGGTAGAAGCCAGCACCACTTCCCTTGGAAGTTGGTTCCAGATCCTAGCCGCCCTAACTGTGAAGTAGTTCTTATGGATGTCTAATCTAAACCTACTCTCCAACTACTTGTGGCCATTATTCCTTGTTATCCCGGGGGGCGCTAGGGGAAACAAGGTCTCCCCCAAACCCTTCTGGTCCCCCTTAGTGAGTTTATAGACGGTCACCAGGTCCCCCCTCAGCCTTCTCTTGTGAAGGCTGAACAGGTTCAGGTCCCATAGCCTCTCATTGTAGGGTCTGCCCTGCTGTCCCCGGATCATGCGGGTGGCCCTCCTCTGGACCCTCTCAATGTTGTCCACATCTTGAAGTGGGATGCCCAGAACTGGACACAGTACTCCAGCTGTGGCCTGACCAGTGTCATGTAGAGGGGGAGGATCACCTCCTTGGTCCTACTTGAGATGCACCTGTGGATGCACGATAAGGTCCGGTTAGCCCTGCCGACCGTGACCTCGCATTGTCGGCCCATGTTCATCTTGGAGTCAATAATAACTTTCACAGAGCCCTAATAATCATTAGGTAATGTAAACCCCAAGATACATCGGTTTAATAATACATAGAAGCAATGTATAACTGCAAAACAAACACGTACACTTTATGTGGTATTTTACAAAAAAAGGGCTTCCAAGTTCCTGATCCAAAGGTATTGGAATACTTGAAACTATTCCCACTATTCCCAACTATTGCCCTAAAATCAGCTCCTCTAATGGGTCTTGAATCAGACCTAAAAACATCTTGGAGCCAGGAAGAATCATAAAGAGCACAAATAATGGTCATTTATATTCTCTGAAGTATTAGTTGGTTGTATTGCAAGGGGATCTTTCCCTCTTCCCATCCCACAGCCACAAAGGGACACTTTCAGGCCTAGCAAACAGTCCTACTTTGGAGT